CATATTTATGAACATATGTGGACATGAATATATGAACACATGAATATATGAACATATGAACATATAAACATATGAAAACTTGAACATATGAGAACATGAACATATGAACATATGAAAAATTCGAACTCTAAAATTTTAAAGACCTTGAAATGAACTTATTCTTCCAAGACTCCATTTCAACCGGAAATAAGTTCCATCCCATTTAAAGATCTCCAAAGTGTAGAACTGATCGTTGCCCCTCGAATGTGACAGTGATCTTCCATAAGAATAGAATTCTGTGACAATGGATTATTCGGATTCATAAATCATCCGATGTTCACTGAACGATAAATGGCTGAACGAGGACCGAACACGTTTCAATTCTCTGTCTGCCTATAAAATTTCATCGTCACCGGTGTGTAGTACTTTATATGGTTCCCTTGAGGGTAATTAAGGCATACGATCGTTCGCTAATATTCAAAATTTTATCTCTTGGGAATCCTTCGTTAATGACCCCTGATTCACGTTCAAACTTTGCGAACAAGAAATATTTGAAATTTTATTGTGTCTCAAGAATCTATACATTTTCTTTTTATATTCAAGGTTATAGAAGTTGAAGTCTGCAGTAAAATGTTTACTTAAATTTAAATTTATTGTCAATTTCCATTTTGTGAATTGTGGTCAGCCATTTTGTATATTTATTAAATATCATTATTCTAATTGTATAAAAATGTTTCGTCTACAGAACTGAGCGACAAAAAAGTAACAAATAGAAATTTTATAAATACAAACAAGTTATTTTAAATAATTTGACTTGTTCTTGCAAAGTTATATAAATGAAAACTCGTGGAGACGAATTTCTTCGTGATCGAAGACGCCATTTCCGAGACAACCAGATACGAATGGGTTTTGAAAAATACGATTATTTTCAGGCGATATTTCATTGAGGATTTGCTGCTTTTCGCAGCGAACAATTTCGATTCGCAGCTGCGTTTTTTCCGCGACGAGATTGTCATTTTTTTTGGTAAATCTACAGCTACGGGAGCCAGGTCAACCATAGCTATATTTATCGAACGAATTTGCAAAAATTGAGCGACCCGCTGATACGAATATTCGATGCTTGTTCGTTCTCGCGAAACAACGATATTTTCAAAACAACTTTTATTTATTCGAATAATGACAAATAGGAACGGAAACAATTGCGTGATTCATTTTTATCGTAAAAGTAAAGAAAATCGTGTTTGAAAAATATTACGGTGACATTGTTGCAACACGGTGCAATCATGGTTGACATAAAGCTTGATACATCGCACTGATTGACAATTTCTATGATTTTATATTTAAGGTTTCCATGTTTTTCATATTTGAGATTTCAATATTTCCACACTTCAATGTTTAACGTTTGAAATTGTTATATTCTTAATTTTTTAAATTTTCTACTTCACATTTCTAATTCGTTCAATTCCCAATGCAATCCAAAGCAACCCAGCGGTAATATAACGAGAGTCCAATGTTGCAATCCCACCAACTTCACCCCTACAAACTTCAACTACAATAAAACGTTACAAACTTTCTGAAATGGAAAACGCATGTCCGTCAAAGAAATTTCATAAATGCTCGTTAGGGACGTATCAAACGTTTCATATTCAATTCTTTTCGTTATTCCATTCATTTCCAGCAAACTAAATCATTGCATTTTTCGAATTCATACGATGGTAATAAAAAACGTACCATTTTTCCCTCGCAGTTTCACGCACAACTGTTACGAGTTGCTTCAATAAAATTTGTATTTTCTATTTTTACAGAGAATTTCTTCCCTTTAATTTTTAATTTCACTTCGCTCGAATGAAAACAGGAAAAGGTATCAGCGTTTAGTTGCATTTGGTAAATCAATGGCATATAAAAAGCAAGCGTTTTAGGAAATCGGGCTTGCAGCTTAATGCTATGGAAATCACGAGACGCAGTTTATGGGAAGAGAGAGAAAAAAATTATTTCCCTTCGATCCAGGTTTTTCCGCGAACGAAGCGTTTAATTCTAGTGGTTTATAATTTCACGTATCTTTAAAATTCTTTTAGTAAATCACTTTTTACTTCCATTCAAAATTGTGGGTCTAAATATTTTTATTTTTGGTACGTTTTTATATTTAATATTTAATATGTTGAATTTCATATTTAACATTTTGTATTTCATATTTAATATTTTGTATTATTGTATCGTTGCACATAATTATTATTAGTAGTCAATTATTAGATGAACAATACTTTTACTGTGATACCAATACTTTTATTTGAACGATATTTGTTTAGGTTAGTTTTAACGTTCTCGTGGTTGTAGAGGTTATGGTTGCCGGACTCGAATTGTGCATGTTTAAGGCTTGTAATAATTTCAGTAATTTTAGTAGAATAATTAAAATGAATGAAACAATTAAATTTCGAAACTTGAGAATTTATCTTACAGTTAAAAAAAATTGTAGCAAAAAGACTTAAAAATGTAAACAACAGAATATACGAAACCAAAAGCAAAGAAAATTTCAAGAAGATAAAAATTCAATCCTATAAAATTTTAACCTATATTTGTTCAGTTCCAATTAGTTCCACCGAATGTACCAAGGATAAAGAGCCTTAAAAGATTCGCAAAATAATTAATGTTTCAATCAAAAACCGTTTCACTCCATCGGAAGACGATCCGAATTACAAACACGGGTCAGAAATTGTATCGTTTTTTCAGTATCTTTCGCAATGAATCTGAACTCGTCTCGATGCCTATCCAGGGTATCCATTCGTCCCGGACAATTGACCGGAAGGCAAACGTTTCCAAACAGTCGGGTCCAGTCGACCCGGTTATTCGCGATTCAGTCCGTGTATCCGGTCGCCGAATTATAGCTGAAGAGGGCGAATATGCCGGCACGGAATACCGCGGAGGAAATAATTTTCGACGAACACGTACGAGCCGAACAAAGATGAAAAGCGAGCCACGAATATGACTGACATCGAGCTATATCCTGGCGATCTGCATGAACGAGAAGTGGCGAAAAAAAAGGGACAGAGATGAAGAGAGAAAGATGGAGGTATGGATCGAAAGAATGGTGGAGGAAGAGAAACCGGGAATAGAGAAAGATAGAAGAAGGTGCTTTAGAGAGCCAGAGTCCAATTTTTAATGAAAGCGTGGAAAGAACCATAAGTGCATATAGTGGCCGCATTTGTCCGCTCCTGAAGGGCTCTCCACGCAGAAGAGTCTTGCAGGACTATCATGGCCGGTGAGCTCCGATCCGGTTTATACCCAGGCTATACCAGGCGGGGAAAAAAAGATTCCAATAATTGCTGGTCGAAAAATATCGACAGTAAACTCTCTCGACCCTTTAATTGCACACCGAAGCACAAGGCATATTGGTTTTCCAGTCGTGTTCTCTCTTTCGTACACGTTCACTTATCAGTAGCGTTCTCCGTCCGTTTCGTTCGTTTCACGGTCTTTCACCCTGTTTCAAATGATCCTTGCGAACGGCATCGCTTAGTTTTTACTACGATTAGTACGCTGCGATGCTCACGCCGATGATATTAGACTGGCGATGGGCAGATTCAAGGCATTAGCCTGCTACGGGAGAATCTGCTCCCCTAGCTTTCGTCGAGTACCTGTTTATCACTCCTTCAATCTTTGAATTTTTACTCTTCTTTTAAATGTACCGTTTGTATAATAGCTTTTAAGTCGAGGTTATTGAGTTTTGAAATTTTTGAGGGGTGGAAGTTTTTAATTTGCACATTCACCTAGTTTTCTATTCAAATTCATAAATTATGGGGCCAATGAACAGTCGAGGCCCAAATGACAAAATCAAACATAAGTTATGAATTTTTTTATGCTATCTTGTGAATTTTTTATTTACAGTGTATGTAATTGTTCAAATTTGTCCCACTTGAAATTATAAAATCTTTCAATTTGTATATCTGCCAAGTTCGAAATTAAACAACTAATTTGCACATCTGTAAGCCTCAAAAATATAATGCTTTTAAATTCGCAGATTGGTCAAGTTTAAAATTCTCAATATTTTAAATCCGCAGATTTAAAAATTGCAGATAGTGCAGATAGCAATATATAAATATTGACTCCATAGTTTGACCGACATTTTATTAATTGAATAGTAACAGCGTGTGAATCGAATCCAATAATTGAATACAAAATGGAAAACATTCTATGATGGTTCGGAAACTGAGAATTAACAAGTAACTGTAGAAGCAATTTATTTTTTTCTTTATCACATATTGAAAAGCAATATGTTTCGGTTATAAACTAAATGCCCGTTCGTTACTGGTATTTAATGTGCAGATATTTTGCGTGGCAATTTGTTTCGCGATTGTTAATTGAACGAATACGTGTGAGTGTTTTATATTGATAGAATCAAGGGCCGTTTGTGATTCTTTGATGAAATGTGGAGCAGTTATCGAGTTAGAGTGCTCTGTGTTGCATCGAAATATATTCAAAAATAATATACAGTAGTTTATAATTATGAAATAATATTGTAGTAGAATTTCTATATAAATTACACAAATTTTATAGTAGATTTTTCGTAGTAAAGTGAATTAAGACATATTTTTCTCAAAGAAATAAAATATATAATTTTAGTAATTTAAATAAAGAAAAATTGTAGGTTATAAAATGATCTTTTCTGAGACCATTCAGTGAAGCAAATTTATTTTCCTATAGAGCAATCTTTTTAAAATAACTTATATGAAAGGAAGATATCGAAGATTGACTCATTGGCTAAGGTTGATAAGTTGAACAAATTGAATGAAATAATGTGTTCATTGCGAAAGGTTTAATCGATTTTCATATGCATCATTTCTTACCAACATTCTCCTATCGACAGGCAGATAATTGAATTCAATTACTAATACAATCATAAGTTTATTTATTCACCTGTATGAGGAATAAAACTTATGAATGTTGATTTTTATTCGTAAGAATTTTCTATGAAGTCAGGACTTTCTATAGTTCCTTATAAGATTAAGAAAAAATACCACAAATTGAAATTTCTGTTTAAATTAAATTTTATTCTGAACTTAAAATCGTACATGAGGTATTATGGTCGTCATTAAATAATATAATAAAGAATCTATCGAACGTCAGAAAGAATTAATGTTTCTCGATAATGGCGGTCTGCTTCCCACCCCCGTTGTACGCAGAAAGGCTGCTACGTATGGAAGGTGTGTGCAGATGTGAAAAATTGAATTTAGCCGAAGCGTTTGTCCCAAAGGTCCTTGAAGTTGGTTCTGAAACAGAAAAGATCGATTTTCTTTACACTCTTACGAACTCTTGTTGGTAATATTTAAATTTTAACTTGGAAAGGTTATTTAGATTATTAAATTTAATTTATAAAGATTGTTTAGAATAGCAAATTTAATTTGGAAAAATTATTTAGATTAGTAACTTTAATTTAGAAAAATTATTTAGACTATTAAATTTGAAATTTCAAAACTTACTTGCGGCAAAGGCAGACTCCACCTTCGCAATGACCTCCAGCTTTGCCCATGCTCAGACAATTTGCAGCACAAGCACTGTCTCCGACGACTCCTCCGAAGGAGAGCAAGTCACAGGTCACTCTTCTGTGCCTGTCAGCACGTTCTTCAACTTCTGGCACAAAGACTTCATATTCATTTTCTGAAACATAAAGGATAAAAATTTTAAACACTGTATATGGGGGCTCATGAATCACTTTACGTTAGTTATGAAGTATGAGGGAAGGTTTTGTATGTATTTGAAGGTTTGCAAGTTTGGACATTTGGAAATTTGGGGGTCCCAAAATTTAGGGGTGTGGAAGTCTAGGATTCTAGAGAGAATTTGGAAATTTGGGTGTTAGAAAGTTCAGAGACTCAAACATTTGAGAATTTGGAAGTTTAGGAGTTTGGAAGTTCAGGATTAGGAAGTTTGAGGATCTAGAAATTTGGAGATTTGGACATTTGCAAGTTTGAGAAATTGAGGATTTAGAAATTTTAAGATTTGGACATTTGCAAGTTTGAGAAATTGAGGATTTAGAAATTTAGAGATTTGGACATTTGCAAGTTTGAGAAATCGAAGATTTAGAAATTTGGAGATTTGGACATTTGCAAGTTTAAAAAATCGAGGATTCAAAAATTTGAACATTGAACTTATTCTGAGAATTTACAAATTTATAGACTTGTACTTTCGGAATTTACAAACTTCTAAATTTGAAACTTTATCGCTTTGAAAGTTTACAGATCTGCAAATTAAGGACTTTAAGAAATTAAGAATAGAGATTCAGAAAGATTTGGAAAGTTCAGACTTATACATTTAATCCTCCAAGACTAGAGGTCCTCAGTTTCCAAACAAAAAATATTTCTTACCAACTGGTGCAGCCATAATGGCGGCAAGGGCCATAAGAACCAGAGCGGCGAGGAAGTAGATCTTGACCATTTTGGTTGAAGTTCTCGAGGAGACTTGTGGAGGAACCGTCGAAGTTACCTTAGAATAGTCTGTGAAGTGACTGATGATGGATCGTTGTTCGGACGCTTTATATACAAATCTTCTCCTGCTGACTTTGCGTATGATAACGTTTCGGTGAACCCCCAAGCAAATATGTGCACAGTTGCGGTCATAGGACATGATTTTCCGGTTCATAGTAAAATTGAGTGGAACTACTAGCACTTGTGTTATTGTTGAAATTTACAATTAAATTAATAATACTTGTGTTGAAGTTATGACTACGTAAATATGTGAGACAGAAAATATACGAAAAAAAATCTTAACTAAATATCTGAGATTATTTATAATTGCATAAATCTTTAGATGAATCAGTTTATTTTGTGGAGAATATTTACTGAGAATATTTTGAAATTTATACGAATATTTAATTAAAGTCATACACTTTATTTTTTTTATACAATATATTATACAATTATTGACAATTCAATGATCCACATCATATATTTATAATTTCGATATGCAAATTTTTACGTTATTTCATGCATAAAATTTGACATACTCGTTACATTATTTTCATTTCGAATATTATGCAGTAATTGTAATTTTAAATATGGACATTGTGCCATATTTTACAATATACATTATAAAAGCTCTCGGACGTAACGTTTTCAATAATCCTTTTTTAGTCCACATACGTAGTTAAAATTATTTTAACTACTTTTAAATTCAGACAAATGTTTCATTAAACAGAATATGACCTTTGTCTGCAAGTGAAATGTTTTATTATTCATATGAATATGTTTTTTCAAACTTTAATTCATTGTTTGTACTGGTATTAACTGAAACATTGATGACCTATACTTCCAACGCAAACTTTGACACGATATATGACACAATACAGTTGAACAAACGCCGTGTGCTTCCCCGTGATGTTTACGGCTGGGTTTTCCAAACCGTTACTTCACACTGACATTATCTTCGCTGTGATTTTTTAATACTCGAATTTATTATCAGTTTTCAACAATGCGTATAAATATACTGTGGATATTAAGTAAACTTTAAGCTCTTGCTTAATTGTTGTTTAATGATAATTGCAGGTTTTTGTTATTATAATTACACTGTTACTTTGTTGTCTACTGGTTTTTATTCAATGCATGTGCAAGCTTTTGTTATTATAATTAGACTATTATTTTGTTATCTATTAATATTTATCTAATTATCTTAGGAAGCTTGATAAAATACATATACATTTTAAACAAATAATACAATTCAAATTATAAGTCTTGAAAATTGTTAGTAGCACAGTTTTATTCAATATATTTTACATCAAATTTTTTACATTCAAACTTAGATAAGATTGTGTCTTAAAATTTAACAACAAATCTGACATAAAACAAAGCATGTGAACACATTAGAAAGGCCCTTCATTCATTACAAGGTTCACCAAAGACAAGTGTCATTATTTGTACAGCTGGTCTTCTAATCGCACCTGTTTCTGATTACACCTTTTCTATAAAATTCAACTTCAGATATATTACGATTTTTGAACCACCCTGTATGTTACAGCTAGACGTGCCATTCGTGTTTACCACGTTCGATTCAGACAACAATGACACCGTGTGTGAGTACAATGCAACTCGTGTGTCTGCATCTCTTAAATCTCTCGTAAGCTGAACACGAATGTCAGTGGGATTCACCGTGAACGCTGTCACAAGTTTTTCCTCGAAGATAACCTATAGGGTTATCATTGTTTCGCTACAAGGTGAACAAGTGTGTGCAGTTCCCGTTCGACAACTGTGTATTTCTCGAACTGTATAATTTGTCTGACTAATCAGTTTATCATAATTGACACACCGACGCAGAGCAACAGTTGTATATACCACAAGATGTAATTATAACTATGCTCAGTGCGATCATTTGACTTTCTAATTTAACCTTTGCACTTAGGAGGTCGGACGTTGATCTCTTTATGATGCTACTTGCAACTTTCAGCAAATTCCTTTCCTTCTTTCTTTCTAGTGACTATTAATTGAAACGGAGCTTTATAACAAAGGTAAGAAGATCGAATGAAGTTATACAAATCAGGGTTTCTGTAAAAACATGTTTGTATGTCTTACAAATTTAATCGAACAATTATACAAGTGAAGAATTTGAAAATCTGCAATACTTTAAATATTTGTATTTATCTATAAACTATGGCAGTCGTGAATATTAATAAAGCGTGTGCAGTCTTCATGATCCAACTTCGAATTTCAAACAGATGTACAATAAATATTATCCCCTAATTGTGTCTGACTTTCCCGAGCTCCAAAATGCTGAACCTGATATTTCAAATAATTCAAGCCTTATAATATTTAGACCCGTCGCACTATTCTCATCCATTAATTAAATTCGTTGCAAGCGTCGCGTGAAACGCAATTAAGTTCCCAAACACAGCGTGTAACCAAAGTAAATAATGTGCTTTATTCGCTCAATTAACAATTGCATAGTGTACGGATGTGTAGTATAAAGCAGGTATTAATTACAAGTAAAAAAAGAGTATAATTTTATAAACTGGCTGTTTTGCCGAACACGTTGATCTTCACGCCAACGTTGCGAAGACCCTCGGTAAGTCTTTTGCCAAGATCAGCGTCCACCTGCGTGAAGTTTTTCACAGCCCTCTCGATGAGGAACGTCGACGCGTTTTGGAGGTTTCCTACTATGTTGTTCACTAATCTCTTTCTCTCCTCGGCGTTCAAGACTTTATTGTAGAACAAGTTAGCTTGTCCGAAATCATCCTCGTTCACGGGCTCGTAACGGTCCACGTCACCGCTGACGAAGAACTTTGGTGAACGAACAGCGGGACACTCTTGGGGTCCGCTGAAACTGTTGGGGAAGTAATTTGGTGCGCCATTTTGGTTGTGTATCGCCATCAGACCGTCCCGTTGGTAGTTCATCGCGGAAATTGCCTGAAAAATTAAAGAATATTCAGTGTTGATGTTCAATTACATTTTTTTTATTTAGATTGAAATGTTAATTTTCAAATTTTAAACATTCTGACATTTCCAATAATGTCAGAGAACATTGCTACACTAGACTCTCGATATATTACCTTAATATGAATAGAGAAAATATTGATTCTCTAACGACTGTATTGAATCACAGTAAAAAAGGAGAAGTACAACAGCGCCATTTTCCTCGTTAAAATGGAACCATAAGTTCCGTACATAACCTGATTCTTATCACCCCCATGCAAATGTTAATAACGACGTTTTAATATTCATGCATCAGATACGGCAAAAGCAAATCCACCGATTTGTAACAATAATTTAAATTACGATTATCGTATGGTACGCGTAATTTATATTATCAGTAATTAATTTTGAATTACGAAGCAGCGTTGCGTGTTCAAACTCGTTCGATGTAAACGAGGACGCATATTTTATAAAATATTGTTATCGTTTCTTCGTTCGTTAAATACAAGAGTGAAAAATTAACATTTTTTGGTTATATTGAACAATCGACTCATAAACGATTTTGAAACAGAAAAGAAATTACCTTGAACGGACAATTGACGGGTAATTGAAGATGATTCGGGCCAAGACGATGTCTATGGGTATCGCCGTAAGCGAATAGTCGACCCTGTAGCATTTTGTCAGGGCTTGGTTCAATACCAGGTACCAGGTGAGCCGGATCGAAGGCTATTTGCTCCACGTCAGTGAAGTAATTTTCAGGATTTCGGTCCAACACCAGCTTACCAACAGGAATCAACGGGAATTCTGTATGCGGCCAGACCTGTTCCATTCAAAATGAAAATTCCTCTTTAATCGCGCTATTGTGCCGCATACTCTTTTGTCGCGTATCTGCATATTTCATTCGAAATTATATTATTCGTCGGACTTATAGCTTTAAATTGATATAATTTATTTATTATTTCACGGTATTTCTGCCATCGAATCTGATTTCCGATATTTTAAAGCTGTACTATGTTCAACGTATTGATATAGCGGTGCTTTAACTAGCACTGCTTTCACTAGCGGTCATTTAACTAGCGGTTAACTAGTTGTATTAAATGAAGAATTGTGTGGTCGTTTCTTGAAGCACCTTCAAAATCATATAGCATAAGGTACTTTAAGAAACTTTTTCTACCATCCATCTTGTATTAAAAACATTAATAAAGTGTTTAGACAGAAATGTTTGTCAAATTCTGAATTTTAAAGAAATGTACTATAACCGTATGCTATGAAATCGTGTCTGAGCTTCTATTTCCAAAATCCAATACTTCACACATACAGGGTGTTCCACTTAAGTCTTCTAAATTATTTTCACTATAACATACAACTTTGAAAAGACAACACCTTGCACCAAATTCTTATACGTTCTAAAATCCACGGCAATCCGACTTTACTTTTGTGTATCTTTACCAATGAAAATAATTTGTACTTTCGACTGAAACACCCTGTATTTGTGATCTATTTATAAAACATAAGCATCTTTCAATGCAACCGAAACGGGCAGGCAATTATATTTTTGCATTTTTCTAATATATTTATAATCGAGATTGGACAGCAGGTAGCCACCGTTGCATATTCAATACTTTGATCGTTGCTCGTACATATCTGTATAAAATTTCAATACGATTAATCCCATGGTTAGTTACTGTTTGCCGAATGACATGACAGCAGTTTCAAATGAACGTTACCTTGGTCAAGTCAAATGGATTCCATTTGAACGACTTTGCTTGCTCCGGAGTCATAACTTGAATGGAGAACGTCCAGGTTGGATAATTATGAGAAGCGATGGCGTTGTAAAGATCCCTGATCGAGTAATCTGGGTCTGATGCGCTTAATTCTGCTGCTTTGTCCACTGGAATGTTCTTGATTCCTTGATCGGTCTGCAAAAGATTATTTTTTTACTCTACATCAATATCAGTTACTCAACATCAATCTACATTCGATACAGGATTATTAAGTTCTTTTTAAGTAGTATTGCTAAGAATCTTATTTAGCTCGTTTCGAGGTTTCAATATTTTTGGTCCACGTTTAATATATTGTTAATATTCTCTTCGGATCGATGCGCACGTTTAAACATTTCATCCGTTTGACCCAATTCACGTAATTCTCTGTTAGTACGATCCGCCGTATTTTATACCACTCGCGTATATATTTAAATTGAACATTCATATCCGTTTTAGGAACGTATCTTCCATAACACAGTTTTTATTTTAATACGAAAGTTGATATCCGGGAAAATACGCGAATTCGCGTCTAAAATGATTCAGATTAACAATGGGCAATTTTATGACTATAACAGATATTTGATGTTTGTATTAAAATAATTTTATTTTGCTTAATTTGGATGAAGTTCCTAGTAAACACCTAATTAAAATATTTTTTAACATTTCTTAACACGTTAATATTCCTTAACATTTCTTTATGTTTCTTACGTTTTTAATATTAATCCTAAAGTTTGAAAATCTTTCTGAACCAAAGGGAAATAAAAGTTCCAAACTCCAGTAAGTAATTAACCAAGTCGATGAAAATCAGGGCAAACTATTCCCAACTATACTCCCTTAATGGAGGTAACGATAACGCGTTATGGTATACAATAGCACGAAACTAGTACCTTATAGTGGAATTTACAGTAAACCATCTCGTTGTTGGCATTCACAAGTTTGAATGTGTGCGAACCATAACCGTTCATGTGGCGATAACCGTCGGGGATACCGCGATCCGAGAACAGGAACATCACCTGGTGCGTCGACTCCGGTCTTAGAGTAATGAAGTCCCAGAACATGTCGGCGTCCTGCGCAAGACAATTCAATTAACACACCGTTTAGAATGGCGCGTGATAATTAGGGAATGGATACACAGTAGAAAGCAGATACCGAACAATTACAGAGCAACGCTTCTAACGATCAAGTAAACGCGCAATTACACGTCTTTCGTGATACGTACATGGCGATGCAATGTTTCACACTTTTCAATTCGAATTTTACTGAAGTGATGACAAGTATTCTTATAGTTTCAATTTTTCTAAATTTTTACATTCGCAAATTTACAGGTTTTTGTATCTGCAATTACACGTTCAATCTACAGTTTACAATTTATACATTTATTAAATATTCAAGACTGTAGATTTATAAAGTATAAAATTCGCAAGTTCTTAAATGATTAATTACATGAACTTTCAAGATGACTAGAAACTATTGGTATGTTTAGAAATATGAGTAACTTAGAAACTAAAGTACCAACATTTCTAGTTTATAAATTTTAATGTTTTAATGTTCAAAATTTCTAAACATCCTACTTGCTCCTAAAGTATTTAAATTTCTAACATCAAACAATTATAAAATTTCCAAACTCCAGAGTTCTCAAAATCCAAGTCCCTAAATTAACAAATTCTCAAGCACAAATATTCTTGAATTTCTACATCCCCAAATTCATTCATTCCTAAGTTTCTACATCCCTAAATTCATTCATCCCTAAGTTTCCAATCCCAAAATTTCTACATTCTCAAATTCCTACGTCCCCGGAATCTCCACATTCCCAAACACCAACGTTCCCAAATTTCTACATCCCCAAATTCCTACGTCCCCAAATCCCTACACCCCCAAATTCCCACGTCCCCAAATCCCTACACCCCCGAATTCCCACGTTCCCAAACCCCTACGTCCTCGAATTCCCACGTCCCCGAATTCCCACGTCCCCAAATTCCTACGTCCCCAAATTCCTACATCACCAAAATCTCTACATCCCCATATTCCAACGTCCTCAAGTCTCTTAGTTCTCCGAATCCCTACATCCCCAAATTCCCACGTCCCCAAAATCTCTACATCCCTAAGTCCACAATTTCCCAATCCCAAGTCCCTCAATCTCAAATCCTTCAACAAAAAATCCCTAAACCCTCCTCCATCTTACATCCAAACCCCCCATCTCGCAAGCTTCTAAAAGTCCAAACGTGAAATCACCATCGAACCTTCAAATGCGTAACAGGGTTCCTCTTCTGCGTGTGTATGAAGCTGGGAAAGAATAGAGGATCCTTGATGAAGAAGATAGGCGTGTTGTTGCCGACCAAATCCCAGATACCGTCTTCCGTATAGAATTTAACTGCGAAACCACGCGGATCCCTGTAAAGAGAAACAAAGAATTATCGAGGGTCGAGCGAATCGGTGCAGGTGTTGTTTGAAATGTGTTTCACGGTGATAAATGCTTTGTCTCGTGTCTCGTATTCCAATATCGCCGGGACTAGTGGGACAACAAATTGTGTCACCGGTTGAAATGCAGCGAAAAACGCGAAAAAAAGAACGCGCAATCGCCGTGACTCATTGGAAATTGTTGTGACAACAATTTCGAAAAAGGAACTTTTCCAGCCAGAAATGGCGGACGATTAATCACAAGGACGGCGTGTTCGTTCGCTTTTTCACGCATTTCCGCGCGGCCAACCCCGCTAATTCGTACGCAAGAAAAACGACCGCTTTCGAACGTCGTTTCCGGCACTTCTGCTGCTCGTAATTACTGTTAAGTACTGGCTACTTGAGTCACCGCTTCTCACCCATTAGTTTTGTTGTTGCGGAGGAAACGATTTTACGGGAACTAATTTTACGACGGAAAATCGGGAAGAAACTTTCCCCGAGAAGATGGAAGGACTCGGAAACTTTACGACTGTTGTTTGTAAGTTCGAAGTTAGAATACCTATGCAAATATTTACCCTGCGATTATAGACACTGGAGATTATAGACACTGTCAATAAATTTAAGATACCGTTTTTTCTCGATCTATGTTTTTGCAAAAGTGGTCAATTTTTTGTGGTGAAAGAGGTCAATTTCTTCTTTGTAAATTGCGAGTAAGTTCGAAGTTAGAATTCCTATGTAAATATTTGTCCTGCAATTATAGACACCAGTGATTATAGACACGAAGGATTATAGACACCATCAATAAAAGTTACCATTTTCTTCCATCTATTTTTTTACAAAAGTAGTCAATTTTTTGCGGTAAAATTGGTCAATTTCTTCTTTGTAAATTGCGAGTAAGTTCCAAGTTAGAATTCCTATGCAAATATTTGTCCAGTAATTACAAACACCAGTGATTATAGACACGAAGGATTATAGACACCATCAATAAAAGTTACCATTTTCTTCCATCTATTTTTTTGCAAAAGTGATCAACTTTTTGTGGTAAAAGTGGTCAATTTTTTTTACAAATTGCGGTCGAACAAATGTATCTACAGCGAGTAGGGGTTGTAACTTGAAACGAGTTCTGCTCGTGGCAATTTACAAGTTTATCGGCCATTTCGGGTATTGATAAGGATTTGAGGCCGATTCTGAATACGCTGTATGGTGGAAACAGAAATGTTCAAAATTATTTTTGTCACCGCGATCGACTTTTACAATATTTTCGCTTTATGACGTATACATATTCATGGGAACGGAATCAGGTCACTCCCGAGCTTAATAAACTTTTACATATTTCAATTTGCAAAACAATTACATGCATTTCGCGGTACTTCGTTTAAATAATATTTGAATTTTTGTGTTGTGGAAATTGAAGGGCAGTGTTAGTGACTGTGCGTGTTTCTAATTTATTAATTAAACAGCTGTCGTTCATTTTGTTTGTCAGACTTGATTGTACTGATTTGAAGGAACATACTTCTAAGATATAATGTTGAATATTTATAGTTGAATGTAATTTGAATACTAATTGAACACGTTTTTTGTAGTTCGTGATTGAGGTTCAATGTGAAGTGGTAAAACTGAGGACTTGTAAAATGCTAGCACAATTATATAATAATATAATTATATGTTTATGTTGAATTGTATGAATGTGTAGGTGTATAGTAGTACAAAGACATGGCTGGTTGCGTGGATGCACAGTTGCATAATTGCATATTTGCATAGTTGCATAAATGCATAGGTGCACTATTGCATAGGTGCACTGATGCATAGTTTCACAGTTGCATGAATGCATCGATGCACAATTGCACAGGTGCATCGATGGATAGTTGCAAAGTTGTACAATTGAATAATTAGGTATTTGCATATTTGCATACTTGCATAGTTGCACACATGTATAGTTGCATAGGTGTGTAGGTACATAGTGGTATGATTGTATAATTGCACAGATGTACAACAAAATTAGTAGATGAATAGAATAGCAATGTAATAGTATGTAGCATAGTGTGAGAGTGAAATAATAGAATAATAGAAGTAGGATTATCAAATTGTAGAATAGCAAAGTGATGGAGTAATGTGGCAGTAAAATGGTAAAATGGTAAAATGGTAAAATGATCAAATGGTAAAATGGTCAAATGGTCAAATGGTCAAATGGTAAAATAGTCAAATTGTCAAATGATCAAATGATCAAATGATCAAATGGTAAAATGGTAAAATGGTAAAATGGTAAAATGGTAAAGTGGTAAAATGATATAATAATAAAATGGTCAAATACTAAAATGGTAAAATGGTAAAATGGTAAAGTGGTAAAATGATAAAATGATAAAATGATAAAATGGTAAAATACTAAAATGGTAAAATGGTAAAATGGTAAAGTGGTAAAATGATAAAATGATAAAATGGTAAAATACTAAAATACCAAAATACCAAAATACCAAAACACCAAAATACTAAAATACAGAAATCCTAAAAATGATAAAGTAATGAAACCATAAGGTAGTAAAGGGACAAAATAAACCAATAAAACAGTAAAAACAGCGTAAGTTAAACAGAATAGCAAGATCGATATAAAAAGTAGAAGTTTGCAATTACCTGACGGTGTCTGCAGAGCCCATTTCGCCACCCACGGTGGAAAATCTCACAGCGATAGGTGTCTTTTTCCCGACCTGAGAGAATACGTTGGCCTTGCAGTATCTTGTGATGTCATGGGTAACTTCGAAATAACCGAACGCACCTGCGACCAAGCGACAGAAAAAGGATAATGCTTTGGAGAACGAGCTAGGGTTATAGGATCGTCGGGCATTCCGAACGTTTTATGGATATTTCGATGGTGCATATGTGACTTTTAGGCTTTCCCTCCACCTACGACTCGACAACTTTCCGGAACCGTTCTGCGCGTTGAACTTACAATTGAAAATCCATGAAACGAAATCATATATAGGATTGTTAAAAACCAGAAACCCGTTAATAATATTGCCTCAAGTTACATTTTACATTGCACAAAAAAAAACGAAATACCATGGAAGATATTGGAAAATTTTCAAAAAGACGATTATGTTCTTACATTACAGAATATTGCATGTACGAAAATTTTTATATCAAATAAAATCGAGTTAAATGACATTTAGAACTTTAATTTCGTCCTCCTTTATTAAACCATCTAACAAAATTAATATTAAGTAATAATCTATGACAACGTTCTAAATGCTAATTGATAGTAATCGCCGATTTATTACTACAAATCGCGAACAGTAGCAACGCGACAGAGGAAATCCTGTACATTCGAGGAATCGAAGGAATCAAAGCCCCAATATCGTTCAGGATTTTCTACGACACGGAAAATCATTGTCGATGTTTGTTCTACGTTTTCTGTATCAGGGTGCACAATCTTCGATACGATAAGAACGTGACGAATCGACATACCAGCTCCTTTCGCGTGTACCACACGTTCTGGAATCCTTTCCCTCGCAAAATGCGACATTTCGTCTAGGTAAACGAAATCTTGTAGCAATATAGGTCCATTTGGGCCCACTGTGAGGCTGGCTTTTTTCTCGGCGATGGGTACTCCATTTCCGGTGAGGAGCACTGGGCATTTACCCTGCAAGATGAAGAGATGGCATAGATAAACAAATGCAGGGTTTCATATTGGTGTTATTATTGCTATTAGTATTTACGGAGACTGTGACAATAGTAGAAGAAGGTGTAGGAAAATTGTAGGAAATCATAGGGTATTTTAATGGAAATGTAGAGAGAGTAGGGAATCATGGAAAAGTAGGGAGAGACTGAGGAACGATAGTGAAAATGTAGGGAGAGACTGAGGAGCCATTGAATTTCCGAATACCTCGATGGTCAAAATTTGTGAATTATCGAAATTTCTAAATTTTTAAAATTTGTGGAGTCCCAAATTTCCACTTTCTCAAATTTCTATCGTTCCAAATTCCCACTCTCCCAAATTTCTATCGTCCCAAATCTCCACTCTCCCAAATTTCTATCGTTCCAAATTCCCACTCTATAAAATTTCTATCGTCCCAAATCCCCACTCTCCCAAATCTCCACTCTCCCAAATTTCTATCGTTCCAAATCCCCACTCTCCAAAATTTCTATCGTCCCAAATCCCCACTCTCCCAAATCTCCACATCCCCAAATTTCTATCGTTCCAAATCTCCACTCTCCAAAATTTCTATCGTCCCAAATCCCCACTCTCCCAAATCTCTATCGTTCCAAATCTCCACATCCCCAAATCTCTATCGTCCCAAATCTCCACATCCTCAAATTTCTATCGTCCCAAATCCCCACTCCCCCAAATCTCTATCGTCCCAAATCCCCACTCCTCCAAATCTCTATCGTTCCAAATCTCCACACTCCCAAATTTTTATCGTCCCAAATCCCCACTCTCCCAAATCTCCACATCCCCAAATTTCTATTGTCCCAAATCTCCACTCTCCCAAATTTCTATCGTTCCAAATCCCCACTCTCCAAAATTTCTATTGTCCCAAATCCCCACTCTCCCAAATCTCCACATCCCCAAATTTCTATTGTCCCAAATTCCCAAATCCCCGAATCCCCAAACCACAATTTCTAAAATTTTCCAACACCCCAAATTTCTAAAATACCCAAATTCCCTTTCCAACTTTCCAACTTCCCAAACCTCCGAACCCTAATGAGCAATTCTAACGATGATCAAATCGTTTCTTATCACCATTCGTGACGATAACTATACATCGATTTCCAAAATAGGAAGAGTTCCCGAAAATTACACGATATCTAGTTACACGTTATCACGAAAACCGTACCGCATTTTCGAACTTGTGCAATCGCGTGATTCTGTTTTTTTATCGCTAACCATGACATAGTTCGAGATCTAGTTGCGATGTGGCAATTATCATCGTTCATCGCTGAAACTCTCCGAGATATCTAAACGGTAGTTTGCGGTACGTATATCGCGCATAAGTGCGACGCAATTTCTGCAATTCCGCGGACAACTGCACTGCGTCAATTATTCTTGTGTTCAATTATTCGCCTACTCTATGTGCGATTCTCTGGGAAATGCAAAGTAAATTAGGCTTAATAATCGCTGCACAGGTATTCTTTTAAATCCTTTAGAGTAATGTCAGTATTTTAATTGGGTGTATAGTAATTGTAGATAGACATTGTGGTTATGATTTTTATCTAGGTTTGTTTCAATAGCATGGTTTTGTTGATAAAATTAAAGCTAAATATCTGGGAGGACTCATAAACGTCACACGTAACATAATTTTTATTTGGGTTTGCTTAAATAGCCTAGTTTTGTTAATAAAATTAGAGTTGAGTGTCTGGGAGGACTCATGAACGTCACGGATTAAATATTTCACAATAACAGAGAGATATTAGGTAGTGTGTTAGGTAGCTGAACATTCTCAGTACCATTACATCAAGGTAATGTGAACGATTAACATTCTTTATTGCAAGATGAGTGTATTCGTTTTTTTTAAATCATAATCATTCACTTTAGACTACATATTCTGGGTGTAGCATTACAAAATAAAATGTTATATAGCATTGTCAGTCAGACATTTAATTTGCTAAAAATATGGGATTAATTAAATGGAAATGATACTGATGTAATTGAAAGGTATATTGAATGAGTTGAGGTGGCACTCAAAGGTTGGAGGAATAGAAATCTTATCAAATCAAACAGTAATATTTGTCGCAGGAAAATAGACGGTGAAGGGGAAATCCTTATTAATTCATTTGGAAATTTGGTAAACGGGAATTCCTGTTCGTGTACAAATTTGATTAATGGTTAATGGATATTAAGGAGGAAATGATTATTGTATTGTCATCCACTGCTGAGGAGGTCTTGGCATGAAAGTATTAGTATACTGGTTTTTCACGCTAATACGTTAAACAAACTTTACGTAAATTTATTAGAAAATTTGTTGTTATAATAATAATTCAATGTTAGACTAAATTTGATAGATACAGTTCATTATTATTAGCCTTCACTGGGTCAACCTTTATTATAATATAATACAAATTTAATGTAAATTTAAATACAACCTAAATTCCAAATCTAATTCAGCACTAATCCTAACCTGTTTTATAACAAATTTCTAAATCTAAATGCAATCGAAATCTAAACCAAATTTAAAATCAAAAGCCCTAATTTAAGTTAACACTAACTTAATATAAAACTAACCTAAATCTAAATTAACCTAAACTAACTAACCTAAACTAACCTAAATATATAATAAATCCAACCTAAATTCACTCCAAATCTAACTCCACAAATAAATGTCCCCATCGATTCCGATAATATATGATACATTTATTACATCATTTTCACTTATAGCCTACACATAGATTGCACAAGAACAGGTGATTCGTAGGGAAAGATACGTGTGAATCACGCAATTATTGATCCACCACCATTGTAAAGCGCGAAGTAAAAAATGCAATTTCAAACCTTGCACCTAAAATGTTACACAACAATTCTGTGCCATTTTTCCTGCTCATTAACCTACTTCTCCTAAAAACATTACACCCACAAGTGTTTTCATCTTTCGTTAAATTGCAGTTGAATTTCATTTTTCAACTTTTTGATACTCACATTTCATACGAAATGCGAACTTTCAGTTTGTTCGCGATTATACTGCTGTTTACTTTCTTCGATATTTCGCTGCCACTATCATCGAATAAACTTCGGTTATCAATTACATAAGTGGCGGCAAAAATTGCTTCTTCGCAGCGATTAGTTGTTTCATTGTGACATGTGTATACACGTGGATGTATCACGATATTCAAAGTTCATGCATCAATAAAATATGCAAGGTTAAAAAATAGACTCCCTATATGAACATTTTATAGAAAATGCAGAAAAGAAGAACAAGTTTCATTGACTGCCATCATTGAAATTTCTTAATGGAACATTTGCTGTATTATAAAAATAATGTGCATAAAAATGAATATGAAAATTGGAGGAGTAATATTTAACTCAATAGAAGATTTTTATAATTGAAAAGACTTGTTACATTACGAAAATAACATCTTCTTATACGAAATTAAGAAAAGGAAAATAAATTTCATTAACCTACATCAGTAAAATTTCTGAACGAAAAATTTGTCGGACTAAAAAATTAATATCCAGAAAAATTAATAATAAAATTTGAAATAGCAATATTTAACTCGACAGAAAATTTCTAAAGCCAGAGACATTTATTCAGAATTAAAGTTTAAATTTGTCAAAGGTTAATTTCCTGGGACTCCATTAAACTCTAACAAAATTAGATGTTCCAACAACCGAACGCGATGACGGAATAGTTTCCTAGAATATTTCCTGAAATCGTATCATTCATTCATAGAAACATTATTGCGCAAAATGGCTCGGAGTTGCGATCGTACTAACACCTTTCTGTTATTGTACTAACATAAATACAAATAAAACCAGTTAGCAATAAATTAAGTCGTTGCAGAAAGAAAATGTACAAGATACCCAAATTTTCCAACTCCAAATTCCCCAATTTCAAATTTTCCAATTCCAAATTTCCCCAATTTCACACTTTCCAATTCCAAAACTCCCCAATTTCCAAATTTTCCAATTCCGAAATTCTCCAATTCCAAATTTCCCAATTTCAAAATTCCCCAATCTCCAAATTTTCCAATTCCAAAATTCCCCAATCTCCAAATTTCCCAATTCCGCAATTTTCCAATTCTAAAATTCCCCAATTTCAAATTTTCCTATTCCGAAATTCCCCAATTCCAAAATTCCCCAATTTCCAAATTTTCCAATTCCGAAATTCTCCAATTCCAAATTTCCCAATTTCAAAATTCCCCAATCTCCAAATTTTCCAATTCCAAAATTCCCCAATCTCCAAATTTCCCAATTCCGCAATTTTCCAATTCTAAAATTCCCCAATTTCAAATTTTCCTATTCCGAAATTCCCCAATTCCAAAATTCCCCAATTTCCAAATTTCCCAATTCGAAAATTTCCCAATTCCAAAACTCCCAAATTTCCAAATTCCCCAATTTCCACATTTCTCAATTCCGCAATTTTCCAATTCTAAAATTCCCCAATTTCAAATTTTCCTATTCCGAAATTCCCCAATTCCAAAATTCCCCAATTTCCAAATTTCCCAATTCGAAAATTTCCCAATTCCAAAACTCCCAAATTTCCAAATTCCCCAATTTCCACATTTCTCAATTCCGCAATTTTCCAATTCTAAAATTCCCCAATTTCAAATTTTCCTATTCCGAAATTCCCCAATTCCAAAATTCCCCAATTTCCAAATTTCCCAATTTCCAAATTTCCCAATTTCCAAATTTCCCAATTCCAAAATTCCCCAATTTCCAAATTTCCCAATTCCAAAACCCTCAAATTTCCAAATTCCCCAATTTCCAAATTTCTCAATTCCAAATTCCCCAATTACAAATTTCTCAATTCTGAAATTCCCCAATTCCAAAACGAGTTAGCAATAAATAATAATTGAAAATAAACGGCGCTTATAGACGAAGTTTATCTGGTTGTTTAACTTGCAGAAAGAAAATGAACAAGATACACAAGCTTACGTAATGCGATCAAATACTTCTCATCGTGAAATTATCCATTGCGAAATTACGGGGTACGTTTTCAAAGCGATGATGTTTACTTGCAATCATGATTTCCTTGCAACTCGTTTACTCATGGAAATTTACGTTCATTCATTAGCGACCACTTCAAACGTTAATGATCGTGCGACTGATCAGCAAGTATTTTTAAAGTAGGCTAAAGTTGCGGGTATAATTCAGAATTTTGATTTCCCTGATCCAACTCGATATGTTTTGTACTTGTTTTGTATAAGGTTTTGTATAAGTGGTATAAGGTCATCTTCCTGTTTCCCATCCCACGATCTTCCATAATGCTATCTACAGAAAATTCTGATTAATTTCACTATCTACCGTAGCGTATCGTTATCGTCATCGGCGCGAACAGGAAAACAATGTTCGGTACTTAAGCTAACGTAAATATACCAGTCATTGGAATTTAGACACAGAGTTGGGTGATATTGAAAATTGGAGATGCGAAGGTATACACGTATGGGAATGTAGAACAGTGATATTGGAAATTAGAGATGCAAAGGTGGAAAGATATGGGAATATAGGAGCATAGGTATATGAGCAATTAGGAGTCTATTGATGTAACAATTTAGGTATGCAAAAATATAGGAATTTAAGGATATTGATAATTAGAGATGCAAAGGTAGAAACATATGGGAATATACAAGCATAGGTACATGAGCATTTAGGAGTCTTTGGATGAGGTATCTTGGGATACATGTAACTTGGGATCCAGATATCTTAGGACCTAGGTATCTTTAGATCTAGGTGTCTTTGGATCTAGGTGTCTTGGGATCTAGGTACCTTGGGATATAGGTATCTTGGTATCTCGGTGTCTAGGTATCTAGGTATCTTGGTATCTAGGTATCTACCTACCTAGGTATCTCCCCATCTAGGTATCTACCCATCTAGGTATTTACCTATCTAGGTATCTACCCATCTAGGTATCTACTTATTTAGGTATCTACCCGTTTAGGTATCTACCCATCTAGGTATCTATCCATCTAGATATCTACCCATCTAGGTATCCACCCATCTAGATATCTACCCATCTAGGTATCTACCCACCTAGATATCTACCCATCTAGGTATCTACCCACCTAGATATCTACCCATCTAGGTATCTACCCACCTAGATATCTACCCATCTAGGTATCTACCCACCTAGATATCTACCCATCTAGGTATCTACCCACCTAGATATCTACCCATCTAGGTATCTACCCACCTAGATATCTACCCATCTAGGTATCTACCCACCTAGATATCTACCCATCTAGGTATCTACCCACCTAGATATCTACCCATCTAGGTATCCACCCATCTAGGTATCTACCCATCTAGGTATCTACCCACCTAGATATCTACCCATCTAGGTATCTAGCCATCCAGGTATCTACCCATATAGATATCTACCCATCTAGGTATCTACCCACCTAGGTATCTAAGAATCTCGATACCTTGGTATCTATGTATCTAGGTATCTAGGTCTCCAGGTCTCCAGGTACCTAGGTATCTAGGTTTCAGGTCTCCAACTATCTACATATCTACACAAACATACATCTCCATCCCAAGTTCAATCATTTTATTCCAATTCCACCTAATCAGCAATCACAGACGTTTTTTGTCCTCCAATTCTCTGCCTGCTCTCTGCCTCGTTAAACCAGCGCATTTTTAAGATATATGTGACAGAAGTCCTGGGAAAGAAATAATTACGCCGCGCTTACAAACCGGCCAGGGCGATAAGTCGATGAATAAAACATTGTTCGTCGACTAAACTTCCACCGATGTCTTTGATTCCTGTCCTTCTTTTACTCAATAATGTACGAATTACGATTCATATTCAAGGACGTAGAATCACTTTCGCTGCGGTTTACTTTGACAATGTTTATGTCGCAAATAGTACTTGATAAATTCATTAACTTTCCTGGTATTTTCTTCCGAGAGATAGGTGGCAAAACGTGTATGGTAATATTTGATGAACGAGTGCGCTATACTGCGGTGCTAAATATAGCACGATTTTAAATATAAGAACACGTCGTTCAACCGCGCATATTCTTGGTATTCTATTATTGTTTAAACAGTTTCGTTTAATGACAAATAATTAAAAATACTTATAGTGTAAATGTATTACGGTACAAGCATAACTATGTGTAACAATTATTGATTATTCAGTTACAAACACCTCTGTTTGCGTGTGGTAATCAATAGTAAGCATTATAGTGACAATGAGTGCAATCAATGAAAAATGTACACGTACATCCTTTTAAACAGATTAACATTTTTTAACTCGCACTAGATTCAATTTTGCTGAGTCATTTGTTACAAATATTTCATTCGAGCTTGTAATAAAAGTTTAAACAAATTTGTTAAAATTTTGAAAAGTATATTCTATTAGAAAAGATTAATGAATACTTTCTGCGCCGACTGTTCAAAGAAGATTACTTTCCATATACTCTGTCAAAAAACAAGAAAATAACCCTTGAACCGGTTACTACACTTGAACCGCACTATCATTATCACGAGGCTCTTTCACTAACGTTATGAAACCTAAACGCGCAAAAGAATTTATCTATCGTAAATACTAATTATGATTGATTTTCTGAAAAACATATTTGAAATTGAAAACACACATCGACTGATCTGTCATATCGATCAACGCCTGTTGTACCGATCGACCGGTCGATCTATATCGATAGAATTTTTCGTTTGAAAAATGAATCTCCGCATCTTCGATTTGAAACAACACGAAGCAACGAATATATGCTCAATAAAATAGACATCGATAAAAAAAGATGCAACGGATGTTGATAACACATACCCTCGCATTTTTCTTGTAATTTGTCAGCTGTTGAGCAGCAGGTTCTCTCTTCGTTTCGGACATGTCGTCTTTGGTGTCTCTTTTGCAGCAGTACCTTTTAAGCGACAGTCGATGGAAAGCCAGTGTGAGTATAAGTTTTCTGGTGAGGAGCGCGCTTGACGGCGGACCGGGTTCTGAATAGCAACTGGTCAGTTGCAATAACAACGGACTTTTATCATGTCGATTGACCGATGAGTGAAAAACACGCAACGGAGCGGTGTTACGTATCGGTGCTCGGCCCCACGCGACCGCACGAACTACTTGAATAAGGCCCGAACACCGCTTCGGCATTCTTCGGCGACGATCGTTTCCCGCCTTTGAGTTGAATCTGTGTGTGTCTGCCCGCTCGAACACAGTTGCAGGTCTCTTTCTTTTTGCAACGGGCATTAGGAAAACAGGAAACTGAAAAAAGAGCGAGAACTTTGCAGAAATGGAATGGGCGAAGCGTTGTGGACAAAGAACAGTAGTCATATGCGCAGTTGGAAGATAATTGGCTTTGTTACAAGGTTTTGGCTTTTCTTTTGAATGGATTTGGTGTCAGGGGTTGGCGATACAGAGAATGCTGGAGAGTTGTAGGTTTGGGATTTGAGAATTTGGGGGTTTAAGAATTTGGCGATTTGAGAATTTAGGGATTTAGGAATTTGGGAATTTGAGAGTTTGGAGATTTAGGGATTTGGGAATTTAAGAGTTTGGGGATTTAGGGATTTGGCAATTTGAGAATTTGGGGGTTTAAGAATTTAGGAATTTAAGAGTTTGAAGATTTAGGGATTTGGGAATTTGAGAGTTTGGGGATTTAGGGATTTGGCAATTTGAGAATTTGGGGGCTTAGGAATTTGAGGATTTGAGAATTTGGGGATATAGGTATTCGACAGTTTAGGAATTTGGAAACTTGAGAATTTGGGGATTTAGAAATTTGGGAATTTGAGAATTTAGGGATTTAGGAATTTGGGAATTTGAGAGTTTGAGGACTTAGGAATTTGAGGATTTGAGAATTTGGGAATATAGGTATTCGACAGTTTAGGAATTTGGGAATTTGAGAATTTCGGGATTTAGGGATTTGGGAATTTGAGAGTTTGGAGATTTAGGGATTTGGCAATTTGAGAATTTGGGGGCTTAGGAATTTGAGGATTTGAGAATTTGGAAATATAGGTATTCGACAGTTTAGGAATTTGGGAATTTGAGAATTTGGGGA